TTTTTACATAAATCCCAGTTTGTAAAAACATTTACATTTATTAATTTCTACGTGTATGAAAAGGTTATTTAATTTTTTACATTCGATTAATATTTAAAATTAGTGGGTTACAATTATCAACATAATTGTAATTACAGTAATTAATAAAATCATTTTTTCATTCATAAAGTTTCATTTGAAAAAAAAAAAAATTATAATGGTTGTGTGACTAATCTTGAGTAAACAATGTTCTTTAAATAAATCCAATTTGCTCAATCTACTCTAATGTTATTTATATAACAAATAATCATTTTGTGCCTAGTTTAGTTACTTTTCTAATCTTTTATCTATTGATAAATAATATACATTTATTCTAGAACTGTTAACAAAAAAATTTTTTTTTTTATGTTTGTGTGCTTTCCATTTAACAGTAAAATAAGGAAAACTTATTGTAATCGAAGTAATTAGTGATGAATAGGAATTGTCATTGCAATAAAAATCATTTTTCAATAATTTTTTTCTGATCTTCATATTCGTTTAGTCTGTTATTTGTAGTGTAAGAGAAATCAAACTTTAATAAATTATTATTATCATGATAAGAAATTACACATTACAAATTTAAGAAAAGTAAGAATGAAATGCAATAATTATTTTTAATAATTTCAATTAAATTTTTCTTGTTATATCGTTTTTAAAGGGAATTGTTTATTAACAAAGGTCTTTGTCGTTTTCAAGATTATTCGATATTCATTCAAATATTTTATTCTAACTTGATTTGATCAATTATTTGTTTTCATTTTCTTTTTTCCTTTTAAAACTTAAAGTTAAAATATCAACTGTTTGAATTAAATGAACATTCTAAACTACTCTCACAATTTTCAAAACATAATATTTGATTTGCTAAATTGTATTAAGTTTTAGTTTTGTTTTCTGGTCGTTGTTGACTATTTTGTTTAAAAAAAAAAAAAAAAACAGTGCTGTTGAGTACATAAAAATTAACAATTTCAATTTATCTGTGCAATATCATTAAAAAATTTTTTAGTTTTTATTCGAATGGTGGTAATTGAATTTGCTCGAGTTTTTTTTTTTTTTTGTTTTCATTTCTTTTTTAAAATAAAAAAAAAAAACCATGAACAGTAAAATTATATAAAGCGTGGGCAATGAATGAATGAATGCGGTTTAAGTGAAAGCATTGAGGGGGGAACCAGGTTGACTTTAAACATAAAAAAAAAATGAATGAATGAATGAATGAAAAAAAATAAATCGGGGGAAAAAAAAATTGAGCTTAAAAAAGCTTTTTCTTTTTAAACTATTTAAACTTTTAAATTTTTAGTTTAAATAAAAAAGGAAAAATTTAAAAATTATTATTGCAATCATAGATTTTTATAAAAAATTTTTTTTTTAAATAAGAGATGATTAACCCATAATTATTTAAAACGAAATTAAAACAATCATGAGAACTGTGTGAGTTAACTTGCCCATCAAAAATTTTAGACAGTCCGAAATTACATCCATTGTCTTTTAATTTCACATTCGTGAGACCCAAAAAAAAAAATTTGTTGCCACACAAAAAAATGTGAAATAATTAGTTCAAAATTATACCAGGCATTTACCAAAAAAAAAAAAATGAAAGGAAAGGAAAAAAAAAAATTACAAACTTTAGAAATTTTTAAACGTGCCTTCTTTCTATTTCATATTTTTTTTTATCAATATAATAATAATTTATAATTTTAAAAACCTGGCAACGGTACTGATTTAAACCATTTTGATTATTTACAATGGGGAGGATAGAAAAAGACTTGTCGGAAACAAAGGCTACCTAAAAAAGAGAGAGAGAGAGAGAGAGAGAATAATAATATCCTGGCTGCATATTAATGAAAACATAATTAATTAGCGGTTCCTCGAAAAAATAAAAAAATTTTTTTTCAATGGTTACTCATTCATAATACATATCATGTTTATTATTATAATTATTATTATTATTATTTTTAAATTTAATTTATTAAAATTTAAACGTTTTAAACATCTTATTGATATAAATTTTACTACAAATTTCTCTATTAAAGCAAAGTCACACAGCCTTCTCGTATTAAGGAGGTGGGGTGTGGGGGAGGTGGGGGGGGTAAATAGAATGGAAATTTATTTATTTTATTATTTAAAAGTTTTCTTATTTATTAGTGGGCACGATTAAAATATATATATATATATATATTGAAATACCACCTTTTGTTTCAATCGGGTCACTTCCGATGATGATTCAGTCAATCTATCTACCCATTATTACAAAATGAATGAACATTCCAAAATAAGCTTTTTTTTTTTTTTTTTTTTCTGTACTAAGAAAATTCATTCTTAGAATTTTATTGACAGTTTGCTTATATAAAATTTTCTCTTTGTTTTCCTTTTCCTTTTTTTTTTTTTTTTTGTTTTGACACATTCGAAGAAAATCAACAAAATCAAGGTTTATACGTTTTCATACATTTTCTCCCCTCACTTGGACGAATTTATTATAATTAAAAATTATTATTATTATTATTATTATTATTATTTGTGAAATATGAAGGGAAATGTATTAAAGCAAAACTTAAAAAGTTGTGCTTTCATTTTTTTAATTTTTTTATTTATTTATCAAATTGTGAAATTGTGAAAACAAGTAAAAAGGAAAACAAGGTTCACATAGTCATGTTATGAATTTAATAGTAGGTATTTGACACCACCACCACCACCACCACCACTACCATTTCGAGTGACAAAGAGGAAAAATCTTGAAAGCCAAACATTTTGAACCTACACACAAGGTATGGAAACCCACACACAAAGTTTTTCCGTATTTGGGATCCTTAGTGTGATGTCGGTTAAAGATTTCATTTCGGTTATCGGTGGTAATAAGTTTAATAATAATAATAATAATAATAATAATAATAATAATAATAATAATTTGTGCAATAATCAAGTCGGTTCGTACCAACAAAACTGGATTTTATTACAAAAAAAAAAAAAAAATGGCACTGGAAAACAAAATTGTTCGTTTTCCTTTTGATTTGATTTGATTTTTGTGCTTCTAGATTTTGATTTCGCACCTACTACACCTACCTACACACGTGTGTGTTCCTTGACATTTTGATCCCCCTGTAAATAATTATTATTATTATTATTTTTAAATGAATTTATTTAGTTTATAATTATTTAATTAATTTAAAAGGGATTAAGAGTGGTTGTTGTTGTTGTTGTTGTTGTTTTCCCTGACGGTGCAAAAATTTTCATAGTAATTTTAAAAAAAAAAAAAATGGAGATTCAGTAAAGTTTGATTTTTTTTTTTTTTTTTTTTTATTTAATTTGACGAAGCACTTTTCTCTCTCTCTCTCTCTTTTTCTCTCTCATTTCAAAACTTTATAAAACCGTTCATAGAGTTTTTTTTTATAAAATAAAAATCTATTTTTATACATCCCTCCTGTGAACGCATGTATGTATATGCGTAATACTTTCATCGTATTTTTTTTTTACACGGGCAATATTTGATAATAATAATAATAATAATAATAATAATAATCGTTTACGTTTAACCGGCCACTCCTGACCTACACAATTCATTCATTCATTCATTCATTCATTCGTTCGTTCGTTCGTTGGTTGGAATTATTCATCTTTTATAACATCTAGTAGTATTTTTTTTTTATAGGTACTTTATTACGAGTTTTGCCATTTAAGATTTTATACGTGAATCAAAGGCGTATGATATTATTATTATTATTATTATTATTATTATTATTATTATTATTATTATTATTATTATTATTATTATTATTATTATCATTATTATTTAATTAAGTTTTTTTTGAATTTCTTTCGAATGATTTACGTCAAAAAAAAAAAAAAAAAAAAAAAAATTTTTATAGGCGGTTTTAAAACGAATGTTTTTTAAAAAAAATTATTTTACACGTTTATCCGTTTCGAATAGATTTAATAATAATAATAATAATAATAATAATAATAATTATAATTATAATAAGAAAATTAATGTGATTGATGACGTCGTTTTAATAAATAAATAAATTTTTATATAAATTTTTTTAGGGTTTCAGGTAAGAAAAAAAAGGAAAGAAAAAAAAAAAGAAAAAAAGTAAACTCGACGATGGTTTTTTTTTTTTAATAATTCGTACGCCAATGAATGAATGAACATCTCGCAAAAATTTCATCAATGAAAAAGAAAAAGGCAAGGAAATACGCATGATCCAATTCATTCATAAATGAAAATCATTCGTTAAAGTCAACTCGCCGAAATAAAGACACACAGTAAATATTATTATTATTATTATATATATTTAGTTTTGTGTGAAATATAGAAGAAAAAAATATTATTTTGATAAAAAAAATTTATCGTCGAAAAAAATCAAACGCGAAACGATAACAAAAACAAAATATCGAGAGGGGTGTGTAATAATTGTGTATAAGTGTTTTTTTTTTTTTTTTTTTTTACCGTACATTCGTTCGTCGTATTATTATTATTATTATTTTCGGTCGGAAATGTATTATTTTTGTTAAAGTTCCCCTTTTTCAAAAAAAAAAAAAAAAAAAAAAGGGAAGTTGGATGTTAAAGCGAATTCTTTTACGTTTTGTCAATGTTAAAACAATCTAATAAACAAACACAAGGGAATTATTATTATTATTATTATTATTTTTACTATTGCGGCAAAGGTTTCGTCAAGTTTGGAAACATTGGAAACATCCGTATTTAACGTTAAAAAAAACTTACAACCAACAACGAAATTTACAAGAATTTAAAAAAAAAAAAAAAAATTTAAAAAGAGAGGAGGATGTAAACGGTTTTGGAATGTCGTTTTGAAAGAGAAAAAAAAAAAAAAAGCAGGAAGTTGATGTTGAGAAGTAAGACGGTCTATTCTTAATTGAGAGCGTTGGTTACATTATACGAACGATTGTTAGAATTTTGAAATAAAAATGGAAGTTTTAAAAAATCACCGCTAGGTGTTTTTTTCATTCATGAAAAAAGAAAGGAATACAAAATGGCGGACCAAAAACGTGAGGTTCGTGTAGAGGAAAGATTGAAAATAAAAATAGGTGAGTTATATTCATTGAACATTATTATTATTATTATTATTAATGTTTATTTTAAAGGGGGTGACGAATTCCGTCGCGAATCGTAATTATTATTAAAATGGTTAATTGCGACGGAAAATATTTGTTAATTATGAAAATGAAAACCTCACACCCTAAACATTAGAACGAATTGTATTATTATTATTATTATTATTAGTATTATTATTATGATCAATGAACAGGTGTTGGCGAAATTGTAATTACGTTAACTTTGTTGACTTTATAAAAAAACTGTTAAATATTTGTATTAATCAATCATGATTTTTAAACACCGCCATCATTTGTTCTGATTTTTCAATTTAAGGCATCGTAAAAGGAATTTCGAAAGCGAGGCTTGTGTGTAAACTTCCCCCTCCCTCCCCCCCTCTTTAATCGTTTTATTTTAAATTATCTATTATTATTATTATTATTTTTATCAAACATCATTATTTACAATTTGTTAATAAAATTATTTGATTAAAATCATATCAAATTTTCAAGTATCTTTTAGTATTGAAATTATATTTATTTTTAAAACTGTAAAAGATATATTTTTATAATTTTTTAATGGCAGAATGTCTTTCTTTTTGATATTTTGTAACAATGGTTGGTTATGTGACATTGTTTTTGTCACAAACGGACAATTTTTTAATTATTATGCAATATTAGAATTTAACATTCTTTCTCATTTATTTTTTTTTTTTTTTTTTTACCTAAATATTTTTTATGTGACGATTGAAATTTTCCAGTTGTCAAAATAAACGAGTTTGTATCGTTTTGAATAGAATTTTTATTATTATTATTATTATTATTATCATTATAAAAAGGTGAAGCGAAAAATCTTCCGAGTAGACATCAGGGAGGACCAGGAGGATACAGAGATGTTTTTTGTGCATTGACATTAGACCAAGAAGAAATATTTAGAACTACAACGGTGGAAAGAACATTAAAGTAAATTTTTTTTTTTTTAATATTAAATATTATCATTATTATTATTATGTGTTTTTGGTTTGGTTTTTCACATTTACTAAATGTTTTAATTTTTTTGTTTTTAATTTCAGTCCATTTTTCGGTGAAGAATTTCAATTTGAAATTCCAAGGAGGTTTCGTTATTTATCAGTTTATGTTTATGATAGGGACAAAAATGAAAAAGTTATCGGGAAAGTAGCAATAAAGAGGGAAGATTTAACGTCTTACAACAATAAGGATCATTGGTTTCAGTTAAAAAATGTCGATTGTGATAGCGAAGTGCAAGGGAAATGTCAAGTCGGAGTAAAACTTGAAAGTAGTTTGGATGCCAATGGAGATGATAAAGTGGTTGTTAGGTTGGTGGGAAAAATAAAATCACCAAAAAAAATTTTTCATCAAGCTAAAATGAATATTATCGTTTATTAAAAAATTTTCTATTTGCAGGTTACTAGAATGCAGCGATTTAACTTTGAAGGGGGGCTCTTGCGATCCTTTTGCTACCGTTACCATGGTGTATTCAAATGGAAAACAAGATTTGAAAAGGACCAAAGTCAAAAAGAAAACAAATTCACCTAAATTTGATGAAACCTTTACATTCGAAGTGTGTAAAAATTGATTATTTAAAAACTTATTTAAAATTTGAATGAATTTTTTAATCATGAATTAAATTTTCATGAAATTTTATTTATAGTTGCCAAACGTTAATGGAAAACAAGGTCAAAATCACGACAGGGACACATATCAGGTTCACAACACGGAAAGAGATGTGGAATTTAGCGAAGTTTTGGTCACTTTGTGGCACGATTCTCCCGGAATGAGTGACAATCTTTTCCTCGGAGAGGTTCGAATCCCAGTGCGCGTTCACGTTATACAACAATATGGAGTAAACAACGCTTGGTAGGATTTTTTTTTTAAAAACAAAAAAATCAAATCGTTATTATTATTTTTTGTAAATAAAATTTTTCTTTTTTTTAAAGGTACTATTTACAACCAAGATCAAATAAAAGTAGAAGTTCTTCCAAATCTCAATCGGTTAATTCGACTCTTAAAAGTACAAATAATTTAAACGAACTCGGTTCAATTAGGTTAAAAATGAATTATGAAGCCGATCATGTTTTTCCTAGTCAATTTTACGAGCCGCTGAGAAAAATTTTGTTGGAAAGCAGCAACATGAAGGTAGTGAATGAATGATGAAAAATTATTTTCATTCGTTCAAACAAAAGGAAATTTTTCAAAATGATTTTTTTTTAATGCGATGTAAAATATTTTGTGTTTAAAGCCTGTCACGTCTAGTGCTGCGTATATACTCGGTGAAATAGTAACAAGTAAAATGGAAGCTGCTCAACCTTTAGTACGTATTATGACTCATCACGGTCAAATTGTCTCAATAATAAAAGCTTTAGCCAAATGGGAAATTTCAAAAGTAACGTGAGTATTGCTGCCACCATTTTTTTTGTTTTCCCCCCTAATCACATTCGCAATTTCTTATGTTATTATTATTATTATTATTTACAGCGATGCAAATACGATTTTTCGTGGAAATACTCTCGTAAGTAAAATGATGGATGAAGTTATGCGTTTGGCAGGATCTCATTATTTAAGAAGTACTTTAAAACCATCTCTGGAAGTCATTTTATCGGAGAAGAAAAATTGCGAAATAGATCCGACGAGGGTGAAAGACACGGGTCAAATAGAAACGAATTTAGCTAATCTTAAAGTAAGTCGATACTCGCCTTTTTTGTTTTTTTTTTTTTTTTCGTACGAGAAGAAGAAGAAAATGTGTTATTACACAATGATTGTGTCGATTTAGGAATACGTTGAAAAAGTATTCAAGTCTATAACGAGTTCTTCATTGTCTTGCCCGACTTTAATGTGCGAATTATTTCAAGTTTTAAAAGAATTGGCCATCGAAAGGTTTCCGAACAATAACGAAGTTCGATATTCCGTCATATCCGGTTTCATTTTCCTTAGATTTTTCGCTCCCGCCATATTAGGACCTAAATTATTCGATTTAACATCTTCTCCCATAGTAAGTGACTGTATTTATTATTATTATTATTATTTTGCGTATTTGCATTTATTTATATTGTATAAATAAAAAAAAAAATACTTGTTGTAGGATCAACAAACGAATCGAACACTTACATTAATATCAAAAACAATGCAATCCCTGGGAAATTTGGTTTCCTGTAAATACAAAACTTCCGGTTTAGAACAACACAAGGAAAAGTACATGAGCCGATTGTTGGAATCTTTTCAAAATCCTCCTCATATAGAAGCCGTTCGACAGTTTTTGGAAATAATATCGGCGTCTTCGAGGCCGAACGGGCAATCTTGTACCACTTTTGCTCCCGTTGTACTTAAGGAAGGGTAAATATACATATTTATATCCGAACCTGAATTTTTTTTTTTTTTTTTTTTTGTTAAGAATTTGTAAATATTTTAAATTTTTTTTGTTTTTTTTTTTAATGCCAACTAAATTAGGAAAAGGTAAATTTATTCGTTAAGGCATTCGTACCTAAAAACCTATATTGTTATTTAATGTTTTTATTGCTTTTTTAAATTTAAATAGAATCATGGTCAAACGTGCGCAAGGACGAAAAAGGTTTGGTAGGAAAAATTTCAAACAACGTTATTTCAGATTGACGACTCAGGATTTGAGTTATTCGAAAGCCAAAGGAAAGGAACCCCTTTGCTGTATTCCTTTGAGTCAGATTTTAGCCGTGGAACGATTAAACGAAGATAGTTTTAAAATGAAAAACATGTTTCAAATAATACAATCGGAAAGGCGAATGTTATACGTTCAGGTATGAGGTATTCGATTATTTTTTATCACTCGGGGGGGGAGGAGGGGATTTATTTACGAAATATATATATATATATATATATATATATTTTTTTTTTTTTTTTCAGGCGAATAATTGCGTGGAAGAAAAAGAATGGATCGACATATTGACGAAAATTTGTCAAACAAACACCAACAGACTGGAAAGATTTCATCCATCCGCTTTTATCAATGGAAAGTGGTTATGGTGGGTATTCAAAAAAATCTAGCGGAGATTGATTAATTAATTAATTAATACGCGTGATAATATTTTTTATTTGTTCACTTTCAGTTGTAATAAATTTCAAGAATCAGCTCAGGGTTGTCAAGAAGTTACGAGGCGGGAAAGACTGGAAATGACTTTGGATCCCGATCGAGAATTGCAAAGGATTCATTCGATTATCATATCTCAGATAAAACGTTTGGAAACTTTGATAAGTACGTCGTTACGGTGCGACATAAGTTATGTAAACTTTGTTGTTTTAATAATAATAATGATGATTTTTTACAAAGGTGGATGTTATTATTATAATCACGATTCGAATGCTGCGACGCAGTTTAAAGTCGAAGACGTCAATTCTTATTTGCACACGTTAAACGAATTGAAAAACATATCGTTAAATCTCGAGCAAGAGCATAGGATTTATCAGAGGCAGTTGGCTCGGGAAACCAAATACGGGAGCAAGTGAGTGGGGGGTGACACGTCACAAACACTTAATTTTTCATTTTACCGAATGGGATTTAATTTTCCTTTTTTCATTTTTTTTCTGCACGCAGGCAAGCTCCCATCGGTGACAATAATTATTTACTCTTGGCGACGAGATCTCCATTCGATCCCACCGTCACGCTACGAAATTACGATTCCTGGAAAATTGGTAGCACGTCTTCGATGCCGGCCATGATGCCGACTCGTAGTTGCACGTCTTTCCGTAGCGCGAGACCGGGGGCCGATGGAGAAAGCAACGTGTACACCATTCTCAAATACGATTATTCTCCTGCCTGTGGTCAATGTGATACATCAACAAACGTCCAGCTTACGACCGGATCAACGGTCGAAGATTCGTCTTCTTCGGGTAAAAGACTCTACGAAAAAAAAGACATTGTTCATCAGGGAAAAAAACCTTCGTTCCCCGAAAGAGTTTGCACCTCTTGATTTCCCTCTTTTCTAAGATGATTATTTTCTAAATATAATCTCTCGATTATTCCCATCAGAGAAATAATATAAAGAGAGAGTGTGAGAGAGAGGAGGGAAAATTATCTCTCTCTCTTTCTCTCTCTCTTTCTCTCTCTCTTCGAATCATTCGAATTTTACAATTTACGGTTAGGATTTTATTGTAATTATTGACGATTGTATAATAAAAATGTATATTTTTTATTAATTAAAAAGAACTTTTAAAAGTTTCACGCGCACACCCGCACACTCGGAAACTTTTATTCAAAAAAAAATATAATAAAAAAGTGAATTCTCAAAAAAAAAAAAAAAACAATTTGTGTATATTTTAAACATTTTTTTTTTTTTTTTTAATTTATTTTTTTTGACTGTCTTAATGTGGTTGATCTCTCAGTATAAAAACTTTTATTTTATTTTTTTCTGCTAATTTATAAATATAAATTAGTTAATAATAATAATAATAATAATAAATGTCTTTTTTAACAAAAAAAAATTTATTTCATATTATTGTGTGAATGTAAATATGTAAATTTTTTTTTTTTTGTAATAATTTTAATAATTAATTATTTTTAATAATTTAAAAAAATAATAATGATAATAAGGATAATTCAATAATTATTTTATTATGTATAATCGTGGGCCTGATTTGGATTACAAAAAAAAAAAAATCTTAAATTGTTGTTTGCTCAGTTTGTTAAAAATTATTAATTTTTTTTTTTTTTTTTTTTAATAAAATTAATATTCGTCCGATATTTAAGTGCCTGAAATATTTTTAATACAAAACAAGGTAAAAAAAGTGCTTCCCACCAAAACGTTAAAAATTAAATTTTCATTAAACCGTTTAAATAAATTAAAGAAAATTCAATTAATTAATTAATTTAACAAAATTTTTTTTTGTTTATTTTATAAATAAATACATTGTACAACATTGTAAAACTTACATTTAATAAATTATTTAAATTGTTGTAATTGAAATTAAATTACAAATTAATATAAATATTGTTTAATTTTGAAATTTTTTCTTTTTTTTTTTTTTTTTAAAAAAAGTTTAATTGGGACTAAATGAAATTTAATAAATAATGAGGGATTGATTGATTGATTGATTGATTGATTTTTAAAATAATTTTATTAACCTTTTAAAGGTTTCATTTTAAACCTTTTCTTTTATATATATATTCAAATTATAGAGAAATTTAATTGTTATTAAATTAAACAATGTATTATTAGTGCCATTTTAATTTGTTTTTGGCATTAAAAAAGAAGTCAACAAACTATAGTAAGAGAGATAAAAATGTGGGGGGTCAATCAAGTTTTTCCATTAAATTAAATGCCAAACTCTCCTCACTTTTTTTTTTTTTTTTATCACCGAATTCTTTTATAAAAATTAAATTATTTGTTTAAGTGAGAGATAATTTATCGATTTGAAAAATTGTTTTTTTTTTTTTTTGTTATTTATAAATAAAGTTTTTTATTTTAAAATTTAAATTTGGCGGAAATGGAAAACGAGGTATTACGAACAATGGAGTGAATTGAAAGGAAGTCGAAGAATCGGAAATAATTTGGTCAAACATGGCGTCGATTCATGTTTCCTATTAAATTGTTCGTGATTCATGTATATTTCAAACATGTAAAGCTTTATTTAATGCGAATTAGTTATGACATCGTTACATTTTGTAGTTCACCCAATACCGGGTACGGAAGATCAGTTAAATGAAAGGTACGAAAAGGTTTTATTATCTCTTATTAATTATATATGACGACCATTTGTGAATACAATTGGTGTGGCTTCTGTTTCTGACATATTCATATCAAATTACGACAAAACAAATTATTTTCATTTGAAAATCATTAATTTTGTAATACCGGATTAATTATTTTTAATTAATTTGATTTCATTTTCATATTTTTTTTTTTTTTTTAATATTCTTAAGGTTTTAATCAAGGTCGATGCCCATATTATGATTCCTTTAAGACCAAGCCCGGCCACCATTTTGTTTTCGACAATCTTGTACCTATTTTTCTACCCTATTTATGTAATAATATCGTGAAATTTTTTAAAATTTAAACCGTTTCATCATTCTTAAAATCATTTTCCATGCTAAAAAATTACAATTTCAATTTTTTACTCATATATTTTCCTTTTAAAAATGACTTTAATTTTTAATTAGAATGCAGATAATTTTTGCATCAGCGCATATGCAATTATTCGTTACAATAATTCACTCAGTGTATTCAATCAATATTTACGTACACATCCCATATGTATTGCAATTAATTTTGTTTTTAATTATTATTTCATTAAATTCACATTTTATAAAATAATTTTTAATACAGACACTTACCACAATACCAAACAAAAGCTTTTTTTTTTATCATGAGTTAATGGTTGTGGTCTTGATTTCAATTCTTCAATTTATATTTTTTACATATTTTATTTTTTTAATTTTTGTAATTTATATAAAAATGTCATGAAATTCTTTGTGAGCTTGTAAATTTTATTACCATAATTTTACAAATTCATTTTTTAAATAATTTAAAATGTTTTTTTTTTTTTAATTTCCAAATTCGATTTGTATTATGCATGCACCTGTCTAAGTATTCAATCCAAAACGATATTTTTTGTTTTCAGCTTTAGTATTATTTAATACCAAGCTTGATTTTCATATTAGGAAATTTAAATTATTTTTTATTATAATTACATAATTAAATTGTTATTAATTACGATTGTATTAATCGATTCAAACTTATTTAGTATTAATAAATAAATCTTTCCGTTTTTATAAGGAGAATAAAATAAAAGTTTTTTTTAAAATCTTATCGCAATGCATATTTACTTAAATAACTTTTTTATTTGATTTTAGGCTCAAGCAAGTTTCAGACAAAATTAACAGGTTTGGGTCTACAGTTCCATCGGTGCTAGGTAGCCTCAGAGTCCCTGTAAAAACTATCGTTGTTGGTCCAACACATTTAGCTCTTTTACTCGAAGATGGCCATATTTGTAGAGTTAATTTTTCTGTTATAACGGATAGATTAGATTTGACAAAAAAAGATCCTAATAAAAAGTAAGTAATAAGTTAAGTTTTTTATCGTTTTAAATTTGAATTTAGTAATAAATCACAGTGTCATTGTTTTGTTACAATATAAATTTTTTTAAAAAAAAATTACATTGCACCACTCATTTGTAAGAAAATAACAGCCTACTTAAGTTAATAAAGTCTATGAGAAGAGTAAAAAAATCCATATAATTTTCATAAATGAGGTAATAATGTCAAAAGGTTATGTGTTAATGCGGATTCAAAGTTAAATTTATTTACTTTTAAAATTCTAATTTTACTATGAGATTTTTAATTAACCATGCTAATCAAGTTAAAACAATTTAAATTTAATTAGAAAATTTATTGCTGTGTGATTTATTTTTAAGGTCCAATGTAAGTAATGGCGGAAGTGGTAGACAGCTCAATCGCAGTCGAACAACGAGGATGGTTCGTTCGGCTGCCATTAGAGGTTCAGGATCTCGTTCAACATCTGCAAGTTCTATTATGGCCACAAGACCCGTAGTTCCGGCGACTTACGTTCCTGAAGAATTAGTGACTCAAGCTCAAGTTGTACTTCAAGGAAAAACTCGTAATTTAATTATTAGAGAACTACAAGTAATTATAATAATTTTAGGGTTATTATTTTTATTTAACGATCGTTTAAAAATTAACAAGATTTCATTTTTAATTTTGGTTTTTCAGAGAACCAATTTAGACGTAAATTTGGCTGTTAACAACCTTTTATCGCGAGATGAGGAAGAAGGTGATGATACAGAAGAAGCTCCGGATTCTTATGTTCCAGAAGATTTAATATCTTTGTTAGATGGTGGATTCCATGATCAACATTCGGTTATTATTGACGCTGATTCAATGTTTTCAGAGGATACTTTTGGTTATTCAACAATTAGACGGTGATTATTTATAAAAATTTCGATTTAACTATTCAAATCGTATTTTTAACGAAAACTTTTGGGACGAATTAATAGCATTCATTAGTTGTTGATTTTAAATGCAATAATTTATTGATTTACGACCTTGTTAAATTTTGTACTTACTTCATACAATTGTGTTTATCTTATGCCTTTTTTTTTAGCAGAGGTGGACCTTCGTCTAGACGTCAGACCTCAGCTTCAGATAGAGATCCTGAAGATTCATCACGGCGACATTCTAACCGAGATAATTTTCCTTCTTGGAGAGAAAGGCAATATTTAGGTCCCAGGAGGTGGTTAGAAAGTGCTTTAAGAGATTCTTCTTGGGATAAAGATCCAGGTATAAATTTTTATAATTATTTAAGTAAATGTTTCTAAAGAAAAATCTTAATTTGCAAAATAAATAATACTAACTTCTTTTTTTTTTTTTTTTTATTTTATTTTAAGATTCTAAAAAAAAGGAATTTGCCCAACAAAGCCCTCTTTGGACATCTGATGAATTAGAATATTGGCCTGACAATAATGTAAAGTTTACTATGATAGCAGCTCTTCACAGTGAACTTATAGCTGTCTCAAGCACTGGTCAATTATATCAATGGAAATGGAGTGATCCTGAACCGTATAGACACCCTGATGTGAGAATTCTAAAAATTACTCTTTAAACAAAAATTTAAGTTATGATTTATTTTAATTTTGGTTTGTTTTTTTTTTTAGAATCCGAATGTTCGACACCCAAAAGCGATTCAGCTTGGTTTAATGTATGAAAAAATAACAATGATATCCGCCACTACAATCAGAGCTTCGGCTGTAACGGAAAATAATAAAGTTTGTACTTGGGTCGACGAAATGTTGACTCCCGTAGCAGCCAAGTTGGAACATCCTTGTCAGGCGTTTTCTGAGTTTAACATGGAAAAAATTATATCACTCCATACATGTACTCTTTACACTCTTGTTAAGTTAGAAGGTGGAGCTCTGTACTGGTGGGGTGTCATGCCATTTTCTCAACGTCGTAAATTATGGGAAAAATTCAGAGCTAAAAGTCGTAAACACAGACCGTCGGCAAACACTCAGGATATTCTCGTCGGAAGTCAAGTTTGTATGAAAAATTCTCCAATGTGCCAGCCTGGAGCTTTAGGATTTACTGTGTCTTACGGAGTTCCTAAAGCTGGTCAATTACAAAACTCTGCTTGGAACTTGACCGACGTTTGTCGATTTAAATTGGTTCCTTACGTGAGCGAAACTCAAAAAAGCTCATTGAGCCAAATCGGTGAGTTCTTTAACTTTACTCTTTTTGTTTTAAGAATTTTATAAATTTTAAATTTACTTTATAATATTAAAAATTAGGAATTGCTACGACGCTTTCCTGTCTTCCAAGCAAAACAACTAGCCATAAAGAAACGGCAGATCGATTGGACATGCCTCCTCCTCCTTCGCCGGCTTCAAGTACTTGTTCCGATACTGGATCGACATCTCATAAGCGAGCGAAACGCCCTGCTACGAAAAGTGAAGATCATGACAAAAAAGACGAAGAAGAGTGGCCCTTGAAAGATGTCATTTTTGTGGAAGATGTGAAAAGCGTTCCAGTCGGTTTGTAATTTAATAGTAATCACATTTAAATAGTATAGTCATTGTAAAAAGCTTATAATTTAAAATGGAATTATTACGTAGGGAGAGTTTTAAAAGTTGATGGAGCGTATGCTGCTGTGAAATTCCCTACGGTGAAAGATAATAGTTCTGGAAAAGAATCTAAAGAAACTGACGATTCTACTAGTCTTTTACAAGAATGCAGATTAATGAGAACTGATGATTTGCAAGTTCTTAAATCTAATTCCACATCTAGATCCCCTGACTGCTTTCAAAGAGTTCCGAAAAAAGTAAATATTTCCGATAGTGCTGGTCAAATACTTACATTAACGGTTGACGATCAAGGTAAGACGATTCATTTAGTTTTACTGGTAAAGGCAAGTTTTTATTTTTGTAAATAAATCAAATATTTTTTTTTTTTATTTTTTTAATTTGCAGGAATTCATGCTATTGTAAAAAATGGCCGAAAACTGAGTTACGTTATTTATAATTTATCCAGTGGTAGAGCCGAACAAGATAGTCCTTTTCCAATGGATTGCACATCATCTTTTCTTGGTTTAGAGCCTAGGAATATAAGCATTACCAGTACTGGAGAAGTGAGCGGATTAGAATTTTGAAAAAAAAAAAAAAAAAAAAAAATTTTTTTAATATTTTAAATTGATTTTTTATCTTGTAATTTCAGAGTAGCGAAAACGTGCTTATTGTTCGAGATGGAAATTCGACCATATTTCCTATGGCTAAAGACTGTTTGAATTCGATTAGAGATCCCCAATGGTTAGATTTGCCACCGATACGTTGTATCGGAGCAGGAACTCACGCACTTTCTTCTGTTCCAAATAAAAATTTGAAAAATCAGGTTTGTCCAAGTTTGTTTTACTTTTATCTTTTTTATTTGTGCATGAGTTATTTAAAATTCATTTTTTTCACATGTCAAATTTTTTTTTTTTTTTTAGGTAGCTGTTATTGTTATGGCTGTGGAAAATCAAATTCTCATGTCTAAGATTTTAAGATGTGATTTAGATGGAATTAAATCAGTGCTTAATCAAATTGAAAATGAAGCCAAAGCCGGAATTTCTGGTATTAATTCGACTTTATCAAGTATTCTGGCTGAGCGGTGCGATGGAAATAGAAATATATTTCACGCTTGCGTGACCATGTGCGTACCGACGAGCAATAAAGAAGAACAAGGTATGCTTATTTCCGATGGGTAACGTTAACATAAAAAATAAAAATATATCAATTATTCGCTTTTTTTTTCTCACAGAAACCTTTGGCAATCCTCCGTCTGGAGGTCTCGAATCTATCAACGTCATTTCAAGTGCTCTCGGTTCTCGTTCCGTTAATCTTCGAGAAATGATGAGAAGAGCAACGGCAGCAGTACGATCGGGATCTGGAAGTGGAGCGATACATCCTTCGCGTGCTCCAGGAGATCCTCCCAGTGAAGGAGAAACTCCTCCGTTAGCCTCAGATGAACCTATTCCAACTCTTACATGGCCGCCTGATACTGTAAATCCAGGGGGAGAAGATGACAGTTACATCGATTTAGCTTCAAATCAAAAACCAAATACGAGTGAGTTTTCAAACACGTAAAATTTACGAATTAAAATTTTAATGCTTTTTAATAAGTCAACCGTTTTGGGTCTTTTAGGCTCGAACACAAATAAATATATGTTATATCCGACAGAAAGGAAAAACAATGCTTTGACGGCTCTTAAGTTGTTATGTGAAAGTCCTGCATTAGAGCCCCACATGTTGGAACTTCTATCAGCCAAGGATTCCCAAGGTCAGACTCCGTTCATGCTCGGTGTATCATATCGTGCTTATCCGGCAGCATCCATCATTCTAGACACCATTCAAATGGTTGCTGGAAAGCAAGCTGAAGGAGAAGGTAATTCAAATGAAATAAATGAGCATTTAAGAAAGCGACCGATTTATTCGAGTATTGTTTCGCGTGTTTTTATCATTAATTTTTATTTTGCAGTGAAAAATTCAATGAATTCTATGATTTATCCTCGGGGATCTAATCCGGATCATAATCCGCTTCATGTTCTCTGTTGCAATGACACTTGTTCCTTTACATGGACCGGTGCCGAACACATTAATCAAGATATTTTTGAATGTAGGACTTGCGGTCTTACAGAATCATTGTGCTGTTGCACCGAGTGTGCAAGAGTTTGTCATAAAGTTAGTATAATTTCATCGAAATATTGTAGGATTAAATTTTTTTTCAATTGGAAAATTTGAGTTTATAACAATTATTTTTAGGGTCATGATTGCAAACTTAAAAAAACTTCTCCTACTGCTTACTGTGATTGTTGGGAAAAATGCAAATGCAAAGCTCTAATCATGGGTCAACAAGTTCCCCGATTTCAACTTTTGTGCCATCTTGTTTTAACTACTGATTTGGTTTCCTATCCAAACACCAGGGGAGAAAACATATTATTGTTTTTGGTTCAAACAGTAGGAAGGCAAAGTGTTGAACAACGTCAATATCGAACTTCTAGACCTAGAAGCACGTCAAACAATTCGAGAAAAACTCCGTCGTCTGACATGGAGCAAGATATGCCCGATCACGATTTAGAACCTCCAAGATTTAGCAGACGCGCGCTGGAAAGACTTTTAAACGATTGGAACGCGGTTCGAGCAATGCTAATGTCCGGTATGAGGGAAGTTGAAAAAGGAGCGCATTTCGAGGAAGACGCCTATCTTCAAGCTCAAAGTGGAAGCGCTTTACTGGATAAATTTACTCATTGTCTACTTGTTAAGTGCAGCACTGAAATGTTGGATGCCTTACTAACTACTCTCATTCGCGAGCTTCAAAATAATACAGAACCTGGAAGACAGGCTGAAGCTAAGGTGGTTTCAAGGCGTTTTATTCGTTCCGTTGCTCGTATATTCGTTATATTTTCAATTGAAATGGTTCCGAATTCTTCAAAAAAAAGAGGGTATGTATATATATTTTTTTTTAATAAATGATTTTTGTCGAGGTTTTAAATCGATAATTATTATTAATAAATTTTTTTTTTTTTTTTTTTTTTTTTTTCAGATTAAATACTCATAATCAGCATTTATTAAAATGTCGTCGTGCCTTCCAAGCTTTAATTAAAATTGCAATCGAAGAAGTTTGCGAAATTGCCGATTCTTTAATTACACCGGTTCGTTTGGGAGTCGTTCGACCTACTGCACCTTTTACTCTTGCTAGCTCAACTTTAGAAGCTATAAACGTAAGTATTACAAACCTTTTTGTTTAAAGTTTTTTTTTTTTTTTTTCAATATGATAATTCTTTTGTTATTTTTGTTTATTTTAGGGATCCGAAGAATTGTTTTCCGTGGAACCTTTGGCTCCTAATTCAACCAATACGAGTCGTGGCTCAGTGACGTCTGTTTCCATTCACGTTCCTCCAGCAGCTTCTACTCAATCGCAATCGAATGCAATGGAAATTGATGATGTTGACACTAATGAAGGTATTTTATCTTCTAATTATACAAAATAAGTTATTTGAATGTAATAAAATATTAAAGAGAGTATAAATGATTTAAGGAATGGTTGCCGACGATGACAATAGCGAACAAGAAGATATCGCAGACCGACCAGCAGATAGAGGTATGTAATTTGGTCGTGTTTTTGTACAGATTTAAGCTAAACAAGTATCTAAAAAAGTAATTTTTTCTAGGTGAGCCACTGGAAAGGGATAGCGCCGACGTGGGAAATAGTCACGTGGACGATAATGATCAAAGAGACGATCAAAGTGATACAACTGAATTAGACTTGTTAGCTGAATCGGAAAGTGATTCTGATGATAATCAAAGCAATCAAGATCCAACATCGGCTCAAAGCAGAAGTGAACAAACTGGTGCCACACTGGGGTCCGATACCGGTAAGGAACTGATTTTTTTTAAAATTTATTGGTTTAAATAAAAGGCTCTCCTCCTATTCGAATGTCTCTTATGAGCAATGTTTTGCGCACTCTTTACGAGACTAGGCGGAGAGCAAATGAAATCAAAACACAAAGTTATCTTTCTTTAGGAATAGCATCATTGTTGCTTTATCCAGATGATGAGTCTGGCGATTCGAGTCAGCAGGAAGAAGAAGAAAGCGAGGCTGGGGAAACGGATGAGCACGATGCCACGGAAGATTTGACTCTTTCAGAAGAACAATTGGAAAGACGGTCTTCTCAAGCCGGTCACGGGTCTAGGAACAATCTTGCGCCTCAGACTATGCAATGGGCAATAAGAACTAGAGAGACGAGAGGAGGAAATAGAGCTTCAGGAGTTCGAGTTACTGGTGGAAATTCTTTGGTTTTTATCGATCCTACATCTTTGAGAAGATCTACTTCGGCTGCCGTTGCGGCCGCAGCCACTCAGGTGAATTTTTTAATCAAATATATAATCTATTAAAGTAGTCATTTATACAATATTAGATCACGAAATAAAACAATTACGCAGAGGTATTCAACAGGTACATAAATCCTGAAATAAGTTTTAGGATTAAAAAAGGTGCATAATAATAATTTTTATTTCTAGGAGCCGGCCACAATGGCAACCACTGCAAGTTGTTTGGCCAGGGCTTTTGCAATTGTCGTTCGTCAAATTACGGATTTGTTAACCATGCTGCAAGATTATCATGCACTCCTACCATCTTTACCGCGGACATTAGATGTGTCATACCAAGACTCTATAGATTTACAAGTAAAAATAATTGCTCAAAATTTTTTGGTTTTTTATGTAGCAAAAAATATTTTTCTATTAATTTCTACGTTATCTGTTTCAGCTTTATGTGGATTACCGTCTCAAACCAACGTGGGACTGGTTATTAATGGTCATGGATTCCACCGAAGCACAATTACGCTTCGGTGCAGCTTTGACACACTCCTCAGACCCCAATCATCCAGGTGAGTTTTTTAATTAATAATGTAACCTTGCTTGCTTAAAAAACATTAACACGGGCTGATGTGGTCCTTAGGGAATTTTTTTTTTTTTTTTTTTATCTAGATCCTTTGATTAATGTTGTTATTTTACAGGGCACCCCCTACATCATGCTGCAGGTATGGGCTTTAATACGGGGGCTGCATCTGGTCTCTCGGGCTTGCTCGGGTCAACTGCATCTTTTTCGCTTTCGGTTCTTGGTGAGTGGTTATACTAATTTTCCTATCACCATAACCGATGTACAATATTAGGCCTTTTAAATATATATATATTTATTTTGAAAAGAGGCTTTAATAATTCGCTTATGCTTAATTTAAGCTATTCTAACTTTTTTTTTTTTTTTTTTTTTTTTTTTTTTTTTTGTAAATACACCTTTGGTTGTTGCTTTTATTCGAAAATTTCGAAAGCATTCGAAATTCGAAAAATTCGAAGCATTTCTCATGGGAAATATTTTTTTAGGTAATCACGGAACTGCTGCAACTCAAGGAAACGTTGTTAATACGACCGGAAACACTGCGAGACAACCTTCTTCTAACACTCATCGTCCTGTCACTTCTAGTGGATCGGCAAACACTGCTACAAGAATGGTTGGATTCGGTGGAACCGGAAGTAGTAGCGATCAGCCAAGAACTTCTAGAGATCGAGAAAACAATAGTAATAATTTAGTTTACATTAATTTTTGTCTTCCAATTACTTTTTTAATTTGTCCTAATTTTTCCTGAAATTTTAAATTTCAGACGTTCATTCATCTCGACGCGAATTGCTTTCTTATTGCTTGTCCCTGATGAGAGCTCATAATGCGGAACATCTTGATTCACTTCCGGTTTTGGATGTTTCCGCTCTTAAACATATAGCTTACGTTTTAGATGCTCTTATTTATTACATGCGATCTGGAGTTGGTCAGGATTGTGTTTCGGCCAATAAAAATTATAACATCGTTGATAACTGGAACACTGACCAGGTATAAAATCTAGGTTACTTTAATTATACCTATAGTGAATAAATTTGTTTAAAACGTAAACTTTTTTGCCCTAGGATGAAAATGAAAATGATGAAAATGACGATGATTTGACGCGATCCATCGCTTTGTCCACCGATTCTTTAGATGATAATGAATTATCAATTGGAGGCGGAAGAGGGAGAAAACATTCGTTTTTACAAAGATCGGATTCTACTTTGTGCTTGGGTAACTTATTTTTCCAAATATAAATTAATAATAACACAAATAATTAATCAAATTAATATTTGTATTTGATCTAACATTTCAGGTTGCCCTCCACCGGATCCTTTTGAAACACCTCTTGCCGAGGCACTTCCATTAGCCGATCAACCTCATTTACTTCAACCGAATGCTGAAAGAGAGGATTTATTTGGAATTCCCAAGCAACCCATAACCATACCGGCTTCTTGTTAGTGTTCTTTTTTTATGTAAGTTTTTGTAAAAAAAAAGAAATAATAATAATAAAAACAACTCATAATTGTATTACAGCTCACCCACCTGGATGGCGGCCATTAGAATCCCTACCGACTCGTTTGGGATTAAGTGTTGGAGTCGAAGAAAGGAATACGACGTCGAATATGTCAGGTTTGTTTGGTTCCGGCTCGACTAATTCAGCTCACGAAAACCAAACGGATAAACATAGGAACAGTATTGGAGATCAGTCCTCTAATGTAAAATCCCAACTGTCGAACAATGCAAACACTCCCCTGGGTCCATTTTTGGAAATGTACGGCCATTTAATGCGAGCTATTGAAGATGAAAGGGGAGGTCCCGAGGGAGAAAGCGCTGCTGAAGAACCTCAAGATTTATCATTGCATCAGTTGCCATCAGGTAGTGGTACATAAAAATTTTTTTTTTTACGTAATATTACGAAATAAGTTTTTATAAAATAATTTTTAATGCATTTAACTTTATTCAAATTTAACTTAACTTTTAAAAAAAAAAAAAATGATTTCAGAAAACACTAAAATGGACGTGGATTACTCTGATTATTCGGATTCCGATTATGAAGCTTCGAGAAGTTCGGTCGCTAAAATTCCCGGTGATAATTCCGCAGCTAGATCATCCGATAATAAAGAAACTCCGCCGGTCATGAGCAGAGGAGATCAATCTTCGAATGTTCAACCCAAGGCAGACTCAGAATTTCACGAATCCGATAGTGATGCTCCGCCAAAGAAAATAAAAAAACCAAATTCACCGTTAAATAATACCCCACTCCTTAATTTGTTCCTTACGTCTCCTCACGCCGAACGCACCGCAACTCCTCCCTCTTCTCCTGCCATGATGTTTTCATCCAACTCCTCGCCTCCCCTTCCTCCTCGAACTCCGACTCCTCCTCCGAGCAGAGCTCCGATCATAGTTACATCCAAGAATGTCGCCACCGCTATCGCAATGGCCATAGAGCAAACCGGCGTTTCCAAATCGGGAAATGGGAAAAATGAAATGAACGGTTCGACCGACAGCATGTCTTTGGAAAACCTTAATTTGAATCCTCTTTTGCCTAATGTTTCACAGGCCTCCGGTAGTGCTAGTAGTCAGAGCAATAATTCATCGGGAATGAAAAGTGTTATTGTGAGAGCTGGTCCGAGCACTCAGACCACGGTTTGTATTTTTCTAATTTACTTTTTTCCCCGTAATTTTTATCGCAAGGTTGTGAATTGCTTGCATCCTTTTTTAGCTGTCTACTGAAGCACCTGATGTATTGGTAGTGCCAAACACATCACGTACCAATGGGGGAACTGTTGAAAATTCAGGAGAAATCAATGATATATCCACGCAAGTGACAGTAGAAACAACACCGTCGACGTCCGTGCACAGGTGGTAAATCATTATTATTATTATTATGTAATATTTATTTCGTGTGATTTAAACTAAAATTTTTTTTTTTTTATTTATTTTAAGGCTTCAACAAACCGTCGGTCAAGGAGTTTCTCATAATTTATTACTTAGACGTTGGAAATTTTCCTTGGATTTATTCGGGCGGGTTTTTATGGAAGACGTGGGTTTGGAACCTGGTTCGGTGGTAGCCGAACTAGTCGGATTTTCCGTTAAAGAGGCCAAATTTAGACGTGAAATGGAAAAACTAAGGAACGCTCAACAGAGAGATATAACATTGACAAAAGTAATAAAATGTTCAAAAAAAATTGATTAAGCTTTTATTGGCCATGGTCGGTGTTTTAACCGCGAGTCTTTTGTTTTAGATGGAAAGAGATAGAAATCAATTAATACTTTCAACATTTAAAGAACTCAACACTCAGTACAATAATTATCATAGAAGGCTGTCACCGCCACCTCTTGCTGTGAATCGCGTCAAAGTCTTTTTCAAAGATGAACCAGGCGAGGGAAGCGGAGTCACCAGGAGCTTTTACACGGCAATAGCTGAAGCTTTGCTTGCGAACGAGAAACTTCCGAACATGGATTCCGTGCAAATAAGCGTCTTGGAGAGAATGCGAACCGGGGACATGATACCCCGATCGGTAATGATTATCATCCTTTTTTATCATTTTGAAAACGCGGCAAGAGAGTTTTTGTTTTAAAATGGCGAATCCTTTTTCTCTTTAGTCTCCTAGAAGTTCCTCAGCCCTAAGACTGATGCCTGATCCTCGCGCAAGACGATCGCTGTCGATGGAAGCCAGACCGTTCAAACCGGCACCGACGGGTTCGGAAGCAAGTCAACCAAATAGAAATGAACATTTGTCTCACCATCAAAAACAATTAGGGGACAGGCTTTATCCAAAGGTAATGACCCCGTGTACCTGTGTCGCGGTTAAAACTTGATTGCGAAAAAAAAAACCGTTTTTTTCCATTTTTATTTTAGGTTTGCGCTTTAAGACCGGCTTACGCTGGTAAAATAACGGGAATGTTGCTAGAACTTTCTTCCGGTCAACTTTTGATGCTTTTGGCGAGTGAAGACGCACTCAGGCAAAAAGTAGATCAAGCATTTGAAATGATATTAAGTTATGGAGATGATAACGGATCAGCAAGTCATTTAGGTATTAATTTACTTTACAAAATGAAAATTTTTAACGAACCGCGCGCGTGTATGTAATTTCTTATATTCAATTTAGATATGGATTCATTTAATGGCGCGGAAAGGAGCGAAAAGAAGGGATTAACGAATAATTTAGGAGATGCGGAATTGACGGAAGCACAAGAAGATAATTCTCCACTTTTTTACTCGCCTGGAAAACGTGGATTTCATTCTCCCCGACAGGGTAGAGGAACTTATCAAAGACTAAACGCTTTTAGAAATGTAGGACGGTGAGTGTAATAATAATAATAATGGCAAATATTCGTTGTGAATTTTTGTTTTTTTTTTTTTTTTCTAATCAACTCAAACCACAAATTACGTTACAGATTATTAGGATTATGCTTATTACAAAACGAATTGTGCCCGATATTTTTAAGCCGCCACGTATTAAAATACATATTAGGTAGACCCATTAGATTCCACGATCTTGCGTTTTTCGATCCGACCATATACGAAAGCTTGAGACAGTTGGTTGTCGACGCGGAAACTAAAGATGGGCCGACCATGTTTAACGCATTAGATTTAAGTTTTAGGTAAGTTTTAGGCGATGAGACGTTACCAAAATGACGTCGCGAAAATTACAATTTTTAACGTTTTAAAAAATTTTCACAGCATCGATTTAAGCGCTGAGGAAGGGGGTGGAACGGTGGATTTGGTTGCCGGAGGACGAGACATTCAAGTAAACGTTTATAATGTATACGACTATGTAAGGAAATACGCCAAATATAAAATGGTTAAAGCTCAGGAAAAAGCTTTAGAGGTGAAGTGAAGTTTTTGTTTCCCCCCCCACCATCCCCCCGTTTTCAGGATTTTATATATATTAATTTGAATGGTTTTTTTTTCCCCCTCCGCAGGCACTCAGAACCGGAGTATTCGACGTGCTTCCGGTGGGGTCTTTAGACGGTTTGACAGCCGAAGACATTCGGTTACTTCTCAACGGAGTCGGCGATATAAACGTTGCCGTTCTCATAAGTTACACATCATTCGAAGATGAATCCGGTGAATCGAGCGAGAGATTAGTTAAATTTAAACGTTGGCTTTGGTCGATCGTCGATAAAATGTCGCACATAGAAAGACAAGATCTTGTACGATGGCCATTTTTTGTTTTTATCGCGGATTATTTTTGTTTAAAGGTGGCAATAAGGATGTTGATATTGTGATTTGTTTTCAGGTGTATTTTTGGACCGGAAGCCCTGCTTTGCCTGCGAGCGAAGCCGGATTTCAACCCATGCCATCGGTAACCATAAGGCCAGCCGATGATTCTCATCTTCCAACGGCCAACACTTGCGTATCGCGGCTTTACATCCCTTTGTATTCATGTCGACAGGTAATTTTTCTTCTTCCGCTTCTTCTTCTTCTTCTTCTCAAATCGTTTCCGTGTAAAAAAATTTTTTCCCTTTTTCAGGTTCTTCGTCACAAGCTTCTTATGGCCATAAAAACAAAATTATTCGGATTTGTTTAAAATTTAATTTTTATTGGAATTAATAATAACTTGTTGAAAGGATTGAAACACAAAAAATTTTTTTTTTTTTTTTTTTATTTTTTTTTTTTAATTATGATCATGATGATGATGATGGTGATGATGTTGATGATGACGATGATGATGATGTCGTGATGATGAAGAGGAAGATGAGAGTGGAAAAAGAAAGGATGTTTGTTTGTGTAATAATGACGATAATGATTATGTTTTAAATTTTGATTATTAAAAATTATGAAGAGGAGGATAATAATGAAAAAAAAAAAAAAATGGCGATCAGATATACGAATCATGAAAAGGAAAGAAAGGAATGGAAAAGGAAAGAAAAAGGAAAGAAAAAGGAAAAATAAATGTTTTAAGTGATGATGCGGTTATATATATATATATAGGAAAAAGAAGATATTAAAATTAATTAATTAATTTTTTCGTTTTTTTTTTTTTTTTTTTTTTTTTTTTGTTTCTACATACTTATATATATATATAAAGAGAAACAACAACAACAACAACCAAATGTTATATGATTGTTCACGGTGATGATGATGATGATGATGATGATGATGATGATAACGATTATGACAAAAATGAAAATTATTTTTTAAAAATTAATTAATTTTTTTTTTTTTTTTTCGTTTTGTTTGTATCTTTTTTTTTTATTTTAGTATATATATATATATATATATATATATATATATATATATATATATATAAATATGGAGTAGAAGTGCGCGAAAGAATTTCGAATGTGAATTTCTGTTGTTTGAACAACGCGTGAGAGAGAGAGAGAGAGAGAGAGAGAGAAAGAAAAGATTTACATACAATCAACGTATAATAGCCGGGACGCGGTTAGAGAAAAGGATAAAAATATAACAAAATGGGTATGTGTTGTGCGCGTGTGTTTTTTTTAAAAAGAAACGTCGAATCAGGATTAACAAATTTTCTTCTTCTTCTTCTTCTTCTTATTCTTCTTCTTATCATCTTCTCGTGATTATAATTATTATTATTGTTTAAAAAAAAAAAAAAAATAATGATAACAATAACAATGTTGTAAGGAAAAAAATTTTTTTTTTTTTTTTCTTTTTTTTTTAAAATCATAATTATTATTATCCGAATATATAAATATAAATAATTAAAATTGAAATAATAATAATAATAATAATAATAAACGCAAAAAAAATATTTATAATTATATATATATATATATATATATATATATATATATATTGTTTCTTTTTTTTTTTAAACATACTATACTTATCGCAAGTAAGAGAGAAATCATAAACAAATCCGGTATCGTCTGCTTTTTCCTTCTCTCTCTCTCTCTCTCTCTCTCTCTCTCTCTCTCTCTCTCTCTCTCTCTCTCTCTATCTTCATCTCTCTCTCTCTCTCTCTCTATGAATTTATATATATATAATTATTATTATTAGTTTTTTTTTATGTACATAATTATGTAGGTGTTAAGTTAAGTTTGTGAATTGTTTTTTTTTTTAAAAGAAAAGTCGGTGATAAGAGAACATGGAATATTTTGGGGGGTAGAGGAGGGAGGGGAAGGGGGAAGAGGAGGAAATGAAAATTCAATTCGGTAAGAAAATATTATTAATAATAATAATAATAAACTTTTATCAACTGCAACAACAATTTATTTGTGGGTGTGTTTTATTTTAAAAAATAGGAGGGGAGAGGAAGGTGGAAGGAGAGAGGAGGGGAAAATGGGAGGAGAGAGAGGAGGAGGAGGAGAAATTGTATTTTTAAACAATAAAAATAATAATGATGATGATAATAATATTACATTTAATATTTAGAATTTAAAAAAATAAATAAATAAAAAGTTTTCGTTTCCCATCATATATATATGAAAATTAATTTAATAATAATAATAATAATATTGATGATAATGATGATTACATAATATTTTTATTCTAATTATTATTAAAAATTTGAATTAATAAATAATAAGAATGACGTAGATACGATTCCCGTCGTACACATAAATCGCGAATGATTGAATGAATGACTGAATGGAAAAATAGAATATTTATTTATTGATTTGATCGATTGATTGATTGATTTTTATTCCGTCGCATTATCGTTGAAAATATCATTTAAACATTTATCAATATTTCCCATTTCACGTATGAGACAATCGAAAAGTTTATTTATGAAATTTTCCATATCCGGTTTGAAAAATTCGAGACCATCGTTGGAAATAATTTCGAATAATTTCGGAATCAATTCGCTTATCAATTGATTAACAAAATTTGATAAATTGGCGTCGAAAAAAAGATTACTTAAATTTACCTGTGGAAAATCATTATTATTATTATTATCATCATCATTATTATTGATTTAAATGGGAAAAAAAATTGCTAATCACCTTTGAACTATCTAATTTGATGTCTGTTTTCGATATATCGATTTGAAATTTATCCGTCGTGAAATTTTTATTTATACCAATTTCGACATCCGCAGTTAAATTTCTTAAAGAAAATCTATTAAAATAAATAAATAAATTAATTAATTTTCCTCCTCCCCCCCCTCCAAGAAAAAAGAAATTAATAAGTTAATAAGTAAAACTCACTCCAAGTTTCCTTTTCCATAAACCGGAAATAATCCTGGTATGAAGAAATTTTTTAATACGTATTTTCCATCGAGGGAAATTTCTTTTACGTAAGTAAATAATTTTATGCCAAATCCTTGGTAACCATCGATGGTATAATTTTCTAAAATTATCGGTTTCATTGATAAGTTATCAATGCTAAAAAGAGACAGAAAAAATTTTTTCTTTCCTTTTTTTCCTTTTTTCCTTTTTTAAAAAAAATAAATAAAAAAAATACAAACCTTCCAATTTTCGAACCGAAATCAATATTAACATTGTCAAAACCTTTCGATATATTTTTAATAAAATTATCGATTGATTTTGATACGATATTTTGTTTACAATATATTTCAGGTATACAACAAGATAATAATAATGATAATAATAATATAACGTTAATTAATTTTTTAAACATTTTTTTACTAAAACTAAAAAAAAATTTTAAAAAAAATTTTTTTTTTTTTACAAACTCGACACTTAAATTTTACTTTTCTTTTTATTTTTTATTCTTTTAAAAACAAAATTAATGATATTAACCGAATTTTTTGATAACTGATAAGAAAAGAATTGATAACGTAATTAATAATTATAATCATCATCATTATTATTATTATTATTATCATCATTATTAATAAATGTTGGTCAAGTTTTTTAGATTAAAAAATAAAAAAAATAAAAAAAATTTTTTTTTTTTTTTTAATTATTATCGATCGATATATCGTTTTATAATTATCGATTAATCGAAAGTGAATTTAAAAAGTGTGACGTAATACGATGAGAAGGAAGGAAGGAAATGATAATAATAATAATAATAATAATAATAATATAAATGAAAAATTGGAAAATCGTCGTGAATGTCGTTGGCAGCACGCGCGTTTTTCTCCCTTTTTTTCTTTTTTTCTTTTTTTTTTTTTTTTTGACTTTTCCGCATAAAAATTTGGGTTAGGAGCCAGGAAGTTGAAGAGGGAGAGAGAGTGAGAGAGTGAGTGAGAAAAAAAAGGGAAAGAGAGAGAGAGAGAGAGGGAAATATAGAAAAAAAAATCTTAAATGGGGGGTGAAATTTTCTTTATTGAGACAAATAAAAAATTTTCTCCTTTTATTTATTTGTAATTCATTTTTTTTTTAATGAGTAAATATCATTATTATTTAAATTAATTAAAATTTATTAATTAATAAATAAATAAATAAAGTACGCGAATTTTTTTAATAAAAAAAAAAAAAAAAAAGGAAAATTGTCGCTCAAGATTGTAAGTGAGTCGGTCCAGTAAATTTCCCGATCGATTTCTCATCTCAACCCCTTTTTTTTTTATCTCCAACAGATTTTCTTTTTTAACACATTCCCAATTTAAAAAAAAATATTCTTAATTTCAATCAATCAATCAATCATTATTATTATTATTAAATTTTAATCATTACGAATTTGTAAATTTTTGTTAAACCCGATTATGACGTCGTAAAAACAAAACGGTCGCCATTTTTGTTTATGGCTTAATTACTCAATCGTCATTAAGATAATAAAACAAAACATTTTTTTCTTTTAATTTGTTTTTGGGAAAATATTAAAAATTTTAATTTTTATAAACAATTATTCTTTCTCTCTCTTTTTTATTTTATAATAAATAAAATCAAAATGAAAATAAATGAGTGGGATTTTTAAACGCCGCCATATTCGTCTAATGAAACAAATTTTTTTTCTTCTGCTTTTTGTTTAAACGTTTAATTCGAATAAATAAATAAAATATTTTGTTAATTATTAATAATAATAAGAAAGGAAAAACCGTTGAGAAAATATTTTCATCAAATAATGATCCAGCAGAAGACATTATTTACATAAACACAATAAATTTGTACGTGAAAAATTGAATATAAAGCGCGCATAGAATTCTGGAAATAAATGACGTCACATGACGCACGCACACGCACGCACAAAAACCATTTACAAGTTACGGCATTTCAGTCGAACTAAAATGGCGGACGTGAATTAACGCGCGGCGTCGGTTATACCTTAAAAAAAATTTTAAAAAAAAGAAAATTTGTACACATTTTCGTTTATTATTATTATTATTTTAAATTATATTTTTTTAATTTTTAATTAATTGTGTTTGTTTTTTACGGTTTTGTTTCCGCCCCCCCACCCCCTCGGTTTTATTTAAAAAAAAAAAAAAAATTTTTTTGTGAATTCATCGAAGGAGTCTTTTTTTTGTCGGTTGAATCGAATACAAAATTTCAACCACCATTTTTTTTTATTCTTTTTTTCGCGAAAGGATAAAAAGAAAGGAAAATAATTAATATTATTATTATTCGTTTCGATGTGCGTGTGTACGTGCGTGCGTGTGTGTGAACAACGCGTGAAATAAAATTTTAAAAAATTGAAATGAGATAACGAAATTAACGGTTGACATTTTTTTCTTTCAAATATATGTAAATTCGAATGCTGACGTCACGTTCGAAAATATGGTGATTATTATTATTATTATTCATTTCATTTCTTTTTTTCTAACGTCAAATTTTTTTATTTGAAATAACATTAGTAATAATAATAATAATGATATTATTTTACGACGACGTTGCATTTTTTTTTTAACTAGAGATAATAATAATAATAATAATAATAATAAGGATAAGAAATATAATGATGCAGGAGATTTTATTAAGTAAAAAAAAAAAAAAAAAAAATTTTTTTTTTCTTTTCAAAATGGCGGAACTTAATTGTAAATAATTAGCAAAGAAAAAGAAAAAGAAAAAAAAAGCAAGAAAACATAAATTAAATTAAATTAAATTAGAAAAAAGAAAAAAAAAAAAAAAACAAACGCCATTAAACACGCAAGCGTTATGTAAAAGAAAAAAAAAAGAAAAAAAAGTCTTTTGAAAAAGTGAGTTTAACATTATTATTATTATTATTATCATTATCATTATTATTATTTTATTTAAAATGTGAATTTATTAACGTATACATTAAATAAGTGTTAATAATTAATTAATTTTTAGTTTTTTTTGTAACCGTTTTTTTAGTTTGTGGTTCGTTTTCTTTTTTTAATGGTGCACGGTAGGGGTTAATAAATGAATATTATTATTATTATTTATTAAATTTCGCCATTTTTTTTTTTTTTAATAAAAAATAATTTTAATATTTATTTATTTATTTATTTAAATAATCTGTGTTTAAAAATATTTGAAATACATCCGAATAAAAGGAATTCGTTGGATTATATTGATCACACCGTGAGTTGATGTTTTATTATTATTATTATTATTATTATTCCATAATTTTTTTATTATTATTATTGATTTCGTTTAATTAATATTTAATAAAATAAATAATAATAAAAAATTAATTGATGTTAAATATTGCAATAAATGGTTCCAGAAAAAAAAATATGTACATAAAATGGTATGAAAAAATATGTTATTACTTAAAAGTATAATTTAATCATTATTATTATTATTATTATTATTTATTATTATTTATTATTATTATTACTATTTTGTTTAAAATTAACTAAAAATACCGTATGGGTCAAATAATTTTTTGTTTAAATAAAAAAAAAAAAGGAAATGAACGAACAATAAAAAAATAAAATAAAAAAATTTCGCGATAAAATGATTTTTCAAAACAATTAAATTTTTTAAATTAATTAATTAATTAATTAATAATTGAATTGAGTTTTGAAACAACGTTTCGAGTATTAACCGTGCAATTAAATTTTTTTTTTCATTTTTATTATTTTTTATTATTTTTTTTTTTTTTTTTGCCTGAATGGCAAAACGTTTATTTTGTTAATTAAAATGTAAAAAAAAAAAAAAAAAAAATTATATATAAGAGTGGGCGGTTGTTTTTTCTTTTTTATGCTTTTCCGACCGACTTCCGATTAAAAAATGTTAAAAGGAAAAGAATTTTCTTATTTTTCCATTTGTTTTATTTATTTATTATTTTTTTGAAATATAAGTTGTTTTGATTAATATGTTGCAAAAATGTTTTTTCGGTTTTATTTATTTTTTTTATGTACATAAAACTCTCGGATTTCAAAAGGTTGAGGAAAGGTTGTGTGTGTGTATTTAACAAAATTTTAATTAATAAGTTTTTTTTTTTTTCTAGTATTTAAATCAATACTTTATTTATATTAGGTAATGTGTTGTTTTGTTTGTTAATGCAGATATTATCGTGACTGATTTTTTTTTTTTTTTTTTGGAAAAATTTTCCAAATTGGAAATCATTAACTGGTAGAAATAAAAAAAAAGAAAAAAAATGGCGAGAACCAAAGTACGTGAAAAAAAATATGATTGACAGACATAGGGGGAATATTATTACCGGGGAATTTTTTCCACGTATGAAACAACGGTTGGCAATATGAAAATTGAGCGGGCGAACGAGTCGCCGGACAGACGGCTCATCAACCGAACTTTTTAGTGTTGAAAACCAATGTCCACTGCAAAACGATTGGTGGCGACACTTCGAGGTCAAAAGAACTCTACACAGTGTGGAGAGACGACTGGGTGCAATTCATCATCCAGCACTCGGCTTTTCAGTTCTAATCCTAGAGGTTCGATATTCAATAATAGCAACTCGAATAACGAGTTGGACGAGATAGCAATAGTGTCCAATGCAGAACCCTGTCAAGTCAAATATGGAAGTGGACCTCTGCAGTCAACTGCAAACGGGCCTAGATTGGTGCCTGGTTAGTTGGTTTTATTATTATTTCATGCGAATGATAACAAATAAATTAAAAGAAAAATTATATTTTACCAGGTATTATCACTAGTCAAGGACGTATGATAGGAGAGCGGTTGAGTGCATCGGGTACGCGACTCAATTCTGGTAGTCCAGTACAATATACGGAAACGGGGGGTCGAAGAACCTCGAGATCTGTTTCAAAACAAAGTTTGCTAGATTTGGTCAGTTGCAAGTTGGGAAAAAGCAAACAAAATCAGGTACTTGGGATCCGTCCTCGCTTGCTATTGTACGGTATTTGACATCGAACCGTATTTTAAAATTTGTATTTTTCCAGCGTTATTTTTCAACTTCAAGAGATAGTTTAACTGCAGCTTATAGAACTACTGCCGTTAGTTCGACTGCAAGTGAGTTGGATTTGAGAAAAAAAGCTAGAAAAAAAGATCTTCGTGGAAGGCTCAAGTTACCGCCGAGTGTCGTTCTTCTGCCGGCTTGTGGAAGCGAACCATTGTTAAGAAGCAAAAACTGGAGCGAAAAGGGGAGCTCGGGTGGAGGAGGAAATTTAAGTAAGGATGTTTATTTTTGAATTGTTTCAATTTATAAAGATGCACGTACATATTTATTGTTTTCCTTCAGGTGTACAAAAACAAGAAAAGGGAAATTTAACTCCAACTGAAAGCGACAGACTTTTAAGGTCACACATGAGGCTACATGTCGCTGCGCCAAATTGGTCTTTTGTATTTGACCCAGCGGGTCGGTTGTGCTACTACTGGTCTATTATAGTATCATTAGCTTTTTTGTATAACTTTTGGGTCATTATATACAGATTCGCGTTTCAAGAAATTAATCGTGAGTTTTTCTTTTTTTTTCTTTTTTTTTTTTTTTCATACAAACTGTTTTAATATTCAAACACGATCACTACAAAATTGAATTTTTTTTTTTTTTTTTACAGGTGAAACAATAGTTTTGTGGTTTTGCTTAGACTACATGTCAGATTTGTTGTATTTAATAGACATTGTGTTTCACTTTCGAACGGGTTATCTCGAAGATGGGGTTCTGCAAACGGATGCTGCCAAACTTCGAAATCATTACATGAATTCGACAACTTTTTACATAGACTGTCTCTGTTTGCTCCCTTTAGATTTTTTATATCTTTCCATCGGTTTCAATTCGATTTTAAGAACATTTCGCCT